AAACTATGTTGTCTATTTTATTTCAAAAGAATAGGAAAGTTAGATCACATTACTTTAAGGAAGGCAATTGAGATTAAATGGAACCCATTATGGTGCTATTAAGACTTACCGCTTGGCGCGGGCGAACGGCCCTGATGCACGAAATACGACGTTTCCCTGACGGGTGTTTGTGGGCCTCTATCGAAAAAGGTTGATGTCGGCGTTTTAAAAGGGACGCTAGATGGCATTGATGGGGATACTGTTTTGATTAGAATTGCCGACCTCTGGAAAGGGATATGATCTAACCTTTTACAAATGGGATATCCTACATTTATAAATTGTATCACTCATAACTTTAGAGTAGCACTGTATTTTCATTTAAATTTTGATTAATTTTTCATTATGAGATTTCTTTAAAGTTTATTTTTAAGGAGAGTAAGAGGAAGAGCATATATTTTAAAAAACACCCTTTCTCTACTTTTAAGTCAAAAATTCGGAATTTCTTTATTTCTCTGTTTTCATGTTAGAGTTTTAACTCTTCAGTTTTTCAAGCAATAAAATTAAACATTCCCACTAATTGAAATGAGTCTTTCAGAATATCACAGTGCATTATTATAAAAACTCATCTCAAATTACAGGTGCAGGGTGATTAAAAGTATAATAATGGTTAAATAATAAAAGTATTAAAAATCATGAGGAAGTTTCAAAAGATGTAGAACTAACGTGAAAAAATTTCAAAACTTTCAAGCATATATATGTGTTCATTTCATATAAGTTTTTCTCCCTCTGATTGGTTGCATGATTTTATGGCACAAGTGCCAAATTAGGCTAAGTTGCGCCAAACAATGATTTAAAAATACTAAATGTTTGAAAACTGATTCTTAAGCAACGGCAATGTAATAAAAGATTATGTTTAAAATGTATAATTCAATTAGTAACTTCTCATGAAGGAAATTTAAAAAATTACTTTTCACCGTTTCTTACCCGTGTGGTCAGTGTTCTCAAACTGTTTCACCTCATGGAACCCCTGGAACTTGAAAGTGCTTTCGTGGAACCCAATCCATACACATACTAAGAAGAATACATCTCAAAATAATATTTTAAGAAAATCAACATGTTATGTATAAAGGCAGTTATAAAAAAGTATTGCATTTATTATTAAAAAATTATAATCTAATTTTTTGAAGTTATACTTCTTTTGGGGCGTTAGAGAAATATAGGATGAGGGTAAATTTTTACAATGCACGCTCACACCATCATGGATGAGAAAATCCTTTGTCTAGAAATAAACAGAACGGGACAAATCATTCCTGCCTTCGAAATTTTCAGAAAAATATTTCTCTTCACTCTCCTGAAGAAGGGGATACCCGGATTCGAACCGGACACCTCTCGATTTTAAGCCGAACGCTCTACCACTGAGCTATACACCCGCGTCAGCGAACCTTTGCCTTGTGTTCCGTAGGAACGTATATGAAAATGCTTTGTCTAGAAATATACAGAACGGAACAGATCATTTCCGCCTTCGAATTCTCAAAAAAAATATTTCTCTTCACTTTCGAAGGGAGCAGCCGAGTTTGAACCGAGGACCCGTCTGCAGTCGAATGCTGTACCACTGAGCTATACCCCCGCGTTAGCGAACCTTTGCTTTGCGTTCCGTATTATTGGTATTATTATTTATCCCCATATTATTGGTCCTATTGTCCTTTTGTGCGTGGGTGTTTAAATTTATTTAAATCGTGATTATCTCAGGTTTGGCTGGTCCGATTGACTGAAGGTTAGTATCGTTCAACTCTGCTTGTGATCGCCTTTTGTCCTTGGCTCAGCTTGCCATGCTAAAGACTTTTAGAAAGATTTTAATCTTGTTACGCCAAAGAAGTATAACTTCTTACATGCGTACATAAGTACACACACACACTTTTTTAAATATAATTTTACTCATTAATAATATTAATTTATGATCCAAGTGTCACTTATCCCTGCATTATTTAATAACTGGGATATGTGTTTACTTTTTTTTTCACACAAACTGTCGAAGTCTAGGCCTATTGAGATTAAATTTATAATCACATTATATTCAGAGTTTAATTTGTTTTATACTTTGTTTTTGTAGCCACTGACGTTGAGAAATATATTTCACTTAAACACAAGGCTCTGAATGGCGTTAAAATGTTTATAGCTGTATGAGAAAACCCGTGTACTTCGTATGAATTTTCAACCTAAAATTTAGATGCAGTTCTTGTTAAATTTAGATTATAACATCAAATCTGTTGATATGTTGATAAGTTATTTCTTCTCCTTCATTATAGGTGCTTTATTCACAAATAAAAGAGGAGAAATTTTCCAGGCATTTTGTTAACTAACGAGTAGAAATTATCTGGTGGAACTCGAGATATAGTAAACTATAGAATATTCTCAATCTAGCAGGAAGTATATATATGTATGAAGTTAAAGCGTTTTATAATATTTTTTAATTTATATTATAATAAAAAAACTTAAAAATGTTGCATAATAAAGTTATTATAAATAAATAAAATTTTTAGTTTTAATGAATAAAATGATCTATAGAAACTTGTAACTATATAAGCTTAATAGAGAACGTGAATCCATTTTGAATACATATTTATTTCTTCTCGAATTTTTCATTGTGTCTCGTGGAACCCCTGGGTTCCGCGGAACACAGTTAGGGAACCACTTCCTGTGGGTGTTAGAAGGGGAGAATAATATGGATAACGTGTGACAGTGGTACTTCTGGTAGAACATATTCATCCGCATCGTATTCTATCATTTCCTCTTTTAATGTATGTTGTATTGGGAA